TATTGCCTCTGCGAGCCGTGATCAAAGGGGGGAGGGCAGTTGGCTTACAGGGAAGTAGAGTGAACCAAGAAGGCTGGTTTTCATCAAGGAGAAAAATAGAACTTTCACACCGTAGCCTGGCCAGTCATGAAACCAGTTTTCAAAGCTTTTCTGATGTGCAGCGCGCCCTGCTGTGCTCTAACTGCCCTGGCATCTGGCTGCGCATAATCAGTGGCAGGCGATTTGCCTCAACCTCCCACCCCGCCATAAACGTCTCCCCCTTACTCTTACAGATATTGTGGAGCACACAGCAAGCAGTAATAAAGATGGGAATATTGGTTTCGCTGAGGTCTAACCGAATCAGTAAACTGCACCAGCGCGCATTTAAACGTCCAAATGCACATTCTACCACCATTCTGCACTTGCTCAGCCTATAGTTGAACAGCTCCTGACTACTGTCCAGGCTGCCTGTGTATGGCTTCATGAGCCATGGCATTAAGGGGTAGGCTGGGTCCCCAAGGATAACTATAGGCATTTCAACATCCCCAATGGTTATTTTCTGGTCTGGAAAGTAAGTCCCTTGCTGCAGCCGTTCACACCAACCAGAGTTCCTAGAGATGCAAGCATCATGAACCCTTCCCAGCCATCCCAAGTTGATGTTGGTGAAATGTCCCTTGTGATCCACCAGTGCTTGCAGCACCATTGAAAAGTACCCCTTGCGGTTTATGTACTCACTACCTTGGTGCTCCGGTCCCAAGATAGGGATATGCGTTCCGTCTATTGCCCCACCACAGTTAGGGAATCCCATTGCAGCAAAGCCAGCCATTATGGCCTGCACATTTCTCAGAGTCACTACCCTTGATAGCAGCAAGTCAAAGATCGCTTTGGCTACTTGGATCACAGCATCCCCCACAGTAGGTTTGCTCACTCCAAATTGCTTCCCGACTGACCAGTAGCTGTCTGGCATTGCGAGCTTCCACAGGGCTATCGCCATTTGCTTCTCAACTGAGAGGGCTGCTCTCATCTTGGTATTCTTGCATGTCAGGGCAGGGGAAAGCAAGTCAAAGTTCCATGAAAGTGCCCTTACGCATGCGAAAGTTTCGCAACCACTGGAAATCATCCCAGACCTGCAACACTATGCGGTCCCACCAGTCTGTGCTTGTTTCCCGGGCCCAGAATCGGCGTTCCACGGCATGAACTTGCCCTATTACCACCATGATGTCCAAATTGCCAGGGCCCGTGCTTTGAGAGTAGTCTGTGTCCATGTCCTCATCACTCTTGTCACCGCGCTGCCGTCGCCTCCTCGCCTGCTTTTGAAATTTCTGGTGCTGCATATACTGCAGGATAATGTGCATGGTTGTTTACAGTGCTCATAACTGCCGTGGTGATCTGAGCGGGCTCCATGCTTGCCGTGGTATGGCGTCTGCAGGCGAGCAGGAGAGCAGAGTGGCAGCGGAAGCGGTTGTTCGATGACGACAGTTTGCAGTCCTACTGCACTGTCTGCTGCCAGCAGCACCCAGGACACAACAGCGGTGGCTGAGCTGAGCTGGCTGCACGCTTGCCATGGTATGGAATCTTCGTGGGAAGAAAAGGTGCCAAACGATTGTCTGCCGTTGCTCTCATGAAGTGAGCGGTGACTGACGACATGGCTTACAGAGTTGGCTTACAGGGAATTAAAATCAACAAAGGGGGTGGGTTTGCATCAAGGAGAAACACACACAACTGTCACACCGAAGCCTGGCCAGTCATGAAACTGGTTTTCAAAGCCGCTGTGATACACAGTGCACCTTGCTGTGCTCTTCTAATCACAAACAGCCTAGTCAGCAAACAGTGCAGGCGAGCTTTTAAACATCCAAAGGCACATTCTACTACCATTCTGCACTTGCTCAGCCTATAGTCGAACTGCTCCTTACTACTGTCCAGGCTTCATGAGCCATGGGAACAAGGGGTAGGCGCGACTGCATAGTGCTGCCGGCTGGGAGAGCAGCCTGAGGCAGAAGCCTCCAGCTCGCATGATATTCCAGGCAGGACTGAATCTCCATGAGACGAAACTTAAAGAAGAGAATGACCTGGAGTCACTCCCATTTATGTCCAGGCGCCCCTGACAGACCTCACCGAGATCTGCCAGGAGCACCCAGATGACGACAACGGCTAGCAGTCGTACTGCACCATCTGCTGCCGCGAAGGCCAGGAGCTGCTGCTGTGTAGCAATGCAGTACCGCATCTGCCAGCAGCACCCAGGAGACGTACGGTGATGGTGAGCTGAGTGTGCTCCATGCTTGCCGTGGCATGTCGTCTGCACGGGTAACCCAGGCAAAAACGTGAGAAATTATTGTTTGCCGTTGCTTTCACGGAGGGAGGGAAGGGAGCCTGATGGCATGTACCCAAAACCACCCACGACAATGTTTTTGCCCCATCAGGCATTGGGAGCTCAATCCAGAATTCTAATGGGTGGCGGAGACTGTGGGAACTATGGGATAGCTACCCACAGTGCAATGCTCCAAAAGTCAACGTTAGCCTCGGTACTGTGGACGCACTCCACCGACTTAATGCACTTAGTGGGGACACACAATCTACTGTATGAAATCGATTTCTAAAAAATCAACTTCTATAAAATCGACGTAATTTCGTCGTGTAGACATACCCTAAGTGAGGAGTTACTGTACAGAGGCAGCAATGGTACTGGCCAAAGCCACGGAAGAGGCAATGAAGATGACCGTATGTGGAAGCTGAGGGATGTACATGACCTTACAGCGGGTACCTAACAGGAGCTTCATTTGTATGAAATGGTGCTTGATAGAGCTGATGGAAGAGAAGATCCAAGGGTTGGAGATGCAAGTGGAAACTATGGTTGAGCTGTCATAACTATAAAGGGAAGGGTAACAGCTGTCCTGTGTACAGTACTATAAAATCCCTCCTGGCCAGAGACTCCAAAATCCTTTTCCCTGTAAAGGGTTAAGAAGCTCAGGTAACCTGGCTGGCATCTGACCCAAAGGACCAATTAGGGGACAAGATACTTTCAAATCTTGGGGGGAAGGCTTTTGTTTGTGCTCTTTGTTTGGGAGTTCGCTCGCTCTTGGGACTGAGAGGGACCAGACATCAATCCAGGTTGTCCACATCTTTCTAAACAAGTCTCTCATATTTCAAACTTGTAAGTAAATAGCCGGGCAAGGCATCTTAG